TTACATATTTACTTTAAAAAAATTCAAAAAAGTTCAAAAATAACGATTATGACAATTGTCAGTATGGTATATATATATATATCTTCGCTGAAATTTTAATTTAACATATTTACAATCTATATTTTTACCTATTTGCGTCAAAAAAATTCAAAAAACTTTAGAAATAACGATTATGACAATTGTCTCTTTTCTATGGTATATCTTCACTGAAATTTTAATTTAACATGTTTACAATATATATTTTACCCATTTGCTTTAAAAAATTTCAAAAAACTTTAAAAATAACGATTATGACAATTGTCACTTATCTAGGGGAAATCTTAACTGAAATTTTAATTTAACATATTTACAATCTATATTTTTACCCATTATAGCGTCAAAAATAAACTAATATGTTTTAAAATACAGATTATGATATTTGTCATTTTTACAAAGGAACATCATCATTGAATTTATAGTTTAACATATTTATAATATAAATTATATTTTTACCCTTAGTACCAAAAATTTCAAAAATGTTAATAAATAACATGACAATTGTCACATTAAAATATTATAAATAACATAAAAATTTAATACAAATATTATAAATTATTTATAAATTATTTAAACTAGTTCTTTTAATATACTAAAAAAAATAGATAATTTTACAAAAATGATAAAAATAAACCTATAAAAGATTTCAACTAAAAGATTAATAATTCACAAAAAAATTAATTAAAAAAGAAGATTTTAAATTCTTGTCAATTCAAATTTTGCTTAAAATTTTTGCATGAAAACCACAAATTAATTGTAACAAAAATAATATTATACACCTATTCGAAATATTCGTCCTCTAGTCGACTTAAGTTCACGACTCAAATGGAAAACTCATGTTCTCGACTCAAATCGACTTGAGTGCATGACTCGAGTTGACTGGAGTTCACGACTTGAGTCGACTTGAGTTCACGACTTGAGTCGACTTGAGTTCACGACTTGAGTCGACTTGAGTTCACGACTTGAGTTCACGACTTGAGTTCACGACTTGAATCGACTTGAGTTCACGACTTGAGTTCACGACTTGAGTCGACTTGAGTTCTCGACTCGAGTTCACGACTTCAGTGAGTCGACTAATTCGACTAACGACTCAGACTCTGAGTCAAAGTCGGGTGAACTCGACTTTTTAACAACACTAATTTTATCAATTATCATATGACATTCAAATAATTTTTGCCAATATAGCGAATTATATATTTTACAGAAATCTATAAAATATTGATAAGGACATCAGAAAATATCTTTTAAAGACATTGTGGGATAAATAATACGAAGATTATTTTAGAGCATTGATTAGTAAATTTTGTTAAAATATTAACTGTAATATATTCTCTAACTGTCAAATATGTCTGTAAAATTGGAATTTTATCTAGTATGTAAAAGTGGAATTTTATCTAGTATTTTGTAATCAATTATATATAATATAAGAATATCAACTATATATCTACTTACTTTTTATAAAGAAATTTCTTATACTTGTTTGGAATAAATTATTACCATGCTTTCATATTAATGTATATACGTAATTTATTATATTTTATATAAACTAATAAAAATATATTATATTTGTTTCAGGCTTATTTTTTTTATTAAATAGAACCTCCTCTCAAAAATGTTTTATGACTATATATAGACTAAGGTAACCCAGCCGAAGACCCGCCCAATATGGAATCTGGGGGCGAAGCCCCAGAAATTTTAATTCTCCCCCCTCCCCTTAGGAAAATCCTGGCTACTCCTATGTAACACCCATAAATGGTAAAATAGATCTCAATTTGCCAAATCTGGGTTTACATAATATTATTTGTTAAGATTATAATCGGATCCTAATGAACCCTTCGGGATGTACCAAACGTGTCAAAGAAGTTACATTGACATGTATAAAATATGCATCAATTATTGATAAAATGGATAATTTGTAACTTTTAGTGTTTTACGTAGACTGAATATGTCCATAGAATATAATGTTTCGGCCAACAATTAGGGTGGTTGAAAGAATTTAGAGAATAAAATAAATAGTATAAATAAATTAACTACTCTTTATTAATTAATATAAATACTAATTACATAAATATAAATAAGAAATTAAAATAATATAAAAAAATTAAAATTAAAAATTAAGTTCGTAAAATCATAATCTAATCATCATTTTTCGCATTATAATTTCTCCTTATATATCCTTTTTCTTTAATCAACATTTGCATAGTCTCAATTTGTACCGAGATTTAATTCTTGTAGATTTGAATATCTTTGGGCTTCGTAATTTTGTTTAAAAGTAATTTGCCTGTCTGGCGTTTTTCTTAATCTAGTAAATTTGCATGTTACCACAATTACAACACCTTTCCACTTAGATTAGTCCCACCATTCTGCGAATGATCTCCTTTCTTCCGATTTTGACTTTACTGATCTTGTTTCTCCACCAAATCTATTCGTCTTAATCTTTAATGTCTTCTAGTTTCTAACGACGGCGGTCTAATGTCTAATATTCTTCACTTCTAAGGACTGTTTGTACCTGATTACACTCTGAAATTCTTGATTCCTTCTGTTTCTTGTTAACCCCTTGTAAACGATTATCTCTTGATCTCTATAGGCCATTGACGAATCTGTTATCATGATTCCCGATACATAGCTCTTTTAATTATATTTCGTTTTAATCCCAAATTATCCTAGTCTTTGCTTGTTTCTAACGGTTTCTAGTAACTAATGACGGTAAACGACTGCCGATAATTTGTCTGCGAGTAACGATGGTTTCCACGACTTCTTGTTTCTAATAAATTTGTTACAAATCCGAACTTAACTCAGGGTGTTAATGTTGTATTAGGAGAGCTAATTAGGAATCAAAGGTGTATTAAATCTATATGAATAAAATAAAGGATTAATTTTAATAATTACGATTGCTAACCACTTACTTTTGAGCACACCTAAAATAATATAATGTAAACTCTTTTAAATAATTCCAATTTATTAAATTATCGTATTACCTTTCTTTATTTAGAAATATTTAGAATCTCTCTGTCTATAATTAATGTAAAACAAATTTTTCTTTTTTATATAATTCCACTCTAACTAACTTTATTGAAAATTGAATCATTTATATATACATAATTATTTGCATATTAAATATAATAATTTTTCGAAGAATAAAAATATAAAATTAAAATATTATCATTTAAATATAAAAATGTAAAATCTAGTACAACTATTACTAATTTTTCGAAGAATAAACTTATAAAATTAAACTATTATTATTCAAATATAAAAATGTTAAATTTCGTACAATATTAAATTTACATAATACCACAATTGGCACGTGATGTGATTGGCAAAGATTTGTGTAATAGTTTTTACGAAATAATTTAGTTATAGTGTAATTGTTTATACGAAATAAAATTTATCGATTTTTGTATGTTTATCATATTTTTTACGAAATAATTAAGACATACTGTAATTGTTTATACGAAATAAAATTTATCGATTTTTGTATGTTTATCATTGTTGAAAAAAAAGAAAGAAAGATAATATTATTTTATTGTTTTTTTAGATTATTTTTTTTATTTATTTTTTTTCGCGATGTTATATATAAAGTGAAAAAAAAGAAAAATAAATTATTATTATTCCTGTTGTTCAATGAAAATTTGAAAAAGAAATTTTAGCCATTTTTAGTTGAAAGAAAAAAATAAGAAAAAGGAAAAGAAAGGAAAAAGAAAATAAAAAAATATCAAGTAAAAAAAAGTATACATATATTCTAAAAAAAAAATTATTAAAAAATAAATTAAAATTAAAAAATTCGTTCGTAAGTTAGCAAGGTTTAAGTTAGAAATTTAAGTTAGAAAGTGGTGGCCATGAACTCGCGACCTTCTAAGTGAACAAGCGATATTTAAGAGTTTAGTACCCATTTGTTGGGCGGTTATAGTCAGCAAGAGTTAGTTAAGAGTTTAGTACCAATTTGTTGGGCGGTTATAGTCAGTGATTTAGTTAAGAGTTTAGTACCCATTTGTTGGGTGTTTATATTGAGTAAGCGATAGTTAAGAGTTTAGTTACCCATTTGTTGGGTGGTTTCATGAGAAAGATATAGTTAAGAGTTAGCTAACCATTTGTTGGGTTAGTTAAGATTTTGGTTACCCATTTGTTGGGTTTAAGTTAAAGACAAATTATACGGAAGTGCTGCCCAAATTTTGGCCAGTAAAAACCTGTTACACGGAAGTACTGTTCAAATTTTTATATATAAGCCTGTTAGAAATTCGCTCAAATTTTTACTAAATAAGCCTAGTACACGGAAGTGCTGCTCAAATTTTTGCATATATAAATCTATTAGACAAATTTACCTAAAATTTACTAATTAAGCCAGTTCCACGGAAGTGCTGCCCAGATTTTTTTAAACGTAAATCTGTTACAAGAAATTTCAAGAATTTTGTCATACATTAACCTATTAGGCGTGCATGTATATGTGCATCATTGGCTTATTTACGCTACTTATAATATCATACTTGTTGACATTACAAATAACCAATATTTTTATTTTGAAATTAATCATAATTTTTTTATAACGCCAGGATGAAAAGTTTAAAATTTGGTAAATACTGGGAGGTTCAGTATAATATTTTTGGAGCGCTGGTTATACTATTAATATGGATATGTAGTTTAGTTTGGGACAGGAGAATGAGAAGGAGTCGCAGCGTAAGAATTAAAGGACAAACTTTGACCATTGAGTGACATATTGGAGAGGAGGATATGATGGGTAAAGTTACTTGGTTACCGGTTCAGGAGTTAATTAAAGGGTGGACGGATAGCGATATAAACAATAATGTATATGGTTCTGATAAACAAAGTTTCGGAAATAATCAAGTGTTGCGACCGTATAAAGAGCCCAGAGAAAATTCTCGGGGAAGGAGAGTAGAAATAAGACAAAATTTTGAATCTCGGTAGAGAGCGGTAATGAGTTGTTATATTGTGATAAACCAGGTCATATGCTCAGAGATTGGAGTGGTACGAAATGTTTTGATTGTGGAAAGTTAGAACATATAGCCCCTTATTGTCCGGGTAAACAAGAGAGATTAAGATGTGCGGGTTGTGGTACGTTTGGGCATAATAAGGAGGAATGTAATGCGAACAATTACAATAACAAAAGTGGTTTTCCACAGAGAGGGATGAGTCCGAATGCTTTAAATGTGAGGATAATTGAGCGGGAGAGAGTGAAAGAGGTGTGGGCATTCAATGTCAAAGAATTGGAGGAGAAAAATATGGAATGTTTTCGATGCCGAAAGGGTGGGCATATGGCGCGGGATTGTGAGAATTTGTGACTATATGATAGTTAAAAAACTGCAGTACGGGTCGGGACGAGATGGTTAAGAGGGACAAGGGAGGGGTTTAATCAGCGAAATACAAATAAGGAGGGATGCGTAAATATGCTACAAGAGGGGATAGTACATGATCCTTGTTGATAAATTTAGGGGGAAGAATGGTTCTATTTGATAAAGGAGCAGCCATTTCGGTAATTGGATATAATGGATATCAGAGTATTTGGCCTGGGGAAAGGATAGAGAATAAGGGGTTGAGAATAAGACAGTTTGATGAAACCTTGTTGACATCAATGGGTAGGGTAGAGATAGTGGCTGCATCGGAGGAAAGGGTTAAAATATTAGATTTATGGGTTATTAATCGGAATATAGAAGCGGTGTTAGGTTGAAATTGGACCACTGGAATTGGTCCATGGTATAGTTTTTGGGGAGTAATTTCATGGTGGGGCATATTTGTACCAATAACGAATGAGGAATATGCGGTTATTACTTTGAGAGAGAATTGTTTAATGAGGGAACCAGCGAGAATAATTCTAGAAGCGAAACAAGGAGCAATAATATAAGTAGCGAAACTAGGAAAAACAATTCTAGGGGCGAAACAAGGAGCGATAATTCGAGGAGTGATAATTCAAGGAGCGAAACAAGTCAAAATAATTAAAGGAGCGATAATTTAAGGAGTGAACCAAGGAAAAACAATTACAGGAGCGTAACAAGGAGCGATAATTTAAGTTACAAAACAAGAGAAAATAATTCAAAGAGCTAAATAAAGGGAGGTAATTATAGAACGGAAATAAAAGAGAATAACTCTAAGGGTGAAATAGGGGTAAAATAGGGGAAAGGAATTCCAGGAGAGAAACAACAGAAAATGATTCAAGAGAAGAAGTAGGTAGAAATTACCCGGGGCACGTTGGAGCTGTTGAAAGGGGTCGTGATATTTAGAGGAGGGAGAAGGAAGGAAAGGCGGGGAAAAGGAAGGAAGGGCCACAGCAAGAAAATTACCACGACGCAAGAATATCGAGGAGTTATTAATACAAAGACTCTAGAAAATCCGGAAGTAATGAAGGAAAGGACACTGCCCAGTGAAGAAGAATTGATGACTAATGAAGAAGAGGGAAGATAATAGGCTATGACCCAAGTGCAAGAAGGAGTTCGGAAATTAGGACGAAGTTATCAAGAAATTTTCAACGAAGACTTAGGATGCCTCAGAGATTATGAAGTAGACATTAAATTAAAGGATAGTTGTGTTCCAAAGTTTTGTGCGTTATGGAGGATACCATTTGAATGGAGAAAGGAATTGGAATTGGATCAATGGGTACGGAAAGGTATTGTATGTCCTGTGGAATACAGTGAATTGGCGACCCCGTTAATGCCTGTGAAGAAAGCCATCGAAAAACTTCGTTTATGAGCAGATTTTCGAGTCACGTTAATCCATGGGTTGTGGAGGTCAAATATCCGTTGCCCAGAATTGAAGAAATACTGGCCAATTTAAAGGGAAGCGTTTATTTTTCAAAAGTGGATTTTTCTAATGCCTATCTGCAATTGCGTGTCAAACCGAAGATAAGGAAAATATTGACTATTACTACGCCGAAAGGATTGTTCTCGTTTTGTAGATTACCATTCGGACTTAGTGTTTCAGCTCCTATTTTTCTGCGTACAATGGCTGTGGTTTTCCAGGGAATGGAGGGAGTTTTCTACTATATGGATGATGTCTTGGTGACGGGAAGAAATCCCGAACAACATGAACGGAGATTGGAAGAAGTGTTTCGAAGAATCAAGGAGAAAGGATTGAGAGCAGAAAAGTGGATGTTGTGGGTTACATAGTGACTTATCTGGGGCATAAGATCAAGGGGAAGAAGGTACGGCCTGTGGACAGAAATATGACAGAAATTAATAATATGACCCGCCCTAATATTAAAACTGAGGTAAAGGCATTTTTGGGGATGGTAAATTATTATCATAGGTTCGTGGAGGGATTTGCTCAGATAGCAGCGCCTTTATATCAATTGTTAAAGAAAGGAAGAAAATTTGATTGGACAAATGACAAGAGGAGTTCTTCAAAGAATTAAAATGTCGAATAGGAAAAGAACTTGTTTTAGTGTGTTTTAACAATAAATTGGAGTTAATATTAGCGGTGGATGCATCTAATAAAGGTGTAGGAGGAGCGCTGTTGCATTATATTGATGGGGTAGAGAGGCCGGTGTTATTTTTCCAAGAATATTTAGAACGGCGGAGCGGCAGAGACCAGGTACTTAGTGATTGAGCAAGATGCATTGGCCGTTATTTTTGGGTTAACAAAATGCTGTGAATATCTAATTGGACGCCGGTTTGTTATTTACACGGATCATAGCCGTTGGTGCATCTATTCAAGAAGGACAACAATGAATTAATGCTGTTGCCGGCTGCAGAGATGGATAATGCTGGTGGGCAGTTTGGATGCCCAAGTGAAGTATCAAAGAGGGAGAGAAAATTATTTACCAGACATTTTATCCAGATGCGGAGCGGGTGAAGATTTTGGGGAGAAAGAGCAAAAGGAACGGGAATAAGAAAATGAGCACAGGTTGATTAGGACTATGGTTGGAATATCTAGATTCGGGCCTGTGACATGGGAAGAGATTAAAAGGGTGACTTTGAAAGATAAGGAACTGAGACGGATTAAAGTGTGCCTCAAGGGACGGAAAACGTGGCAAGAGGGAGACAAGACCTATAAATATATACAAAAAGAGTTGGCTATAATATGTTTGGTGCAATGAAATTGGAATGTTATAACGGTTAAGTTAAGGGATCGATGGCTGGCGATGATGCATGCTAGACACCAAGGAATGGAAAGAATGAAACAGTGGGGACGGGAATATGTTTGGTGGCCAGGAATAAACATAGACATTCGAAATATCAGTCGAGCTTGTGTTAGATGTAATTCTTGGGCTCCGATGTCTCGAAAAGATAGGGAAAATGTGTGGCGAAAGCAACGCAGTCTTGGGTGCGCATCCACTTGAATTTCTTTGACTTTGAGAATAAAATATATATATTGGTGGTAGATGCTTTTTCAAAATGGGTAGAGTATAAGGAAGTGAAAGGATTAACCACTCAAGTCGTGATAAAAGTATTAAAAGATTTATGGGCTAAATTTGGGGTCGCTATGACCAGGGTTGCTGGGTCAAAATTTTCTAATTGCGGGAGAAATTTGGTATTCTGTGGGAGAAATATGAATTGCGGTAGAAATATTAAAATTGCTAAAAAATTGACTTAATTATCCGCCTATTATTTTTTATAATTAGTTTATATAAATACAATGTCGGTAGCTATTTTTCAAAATAAAATAACATCTTGATTTATTAAAATATATTGATTTATAAAAAAACTAACCATCCTTTTTAAATATAAAAGAATGTAAACAAGATAAAATTTTATAAAAAAATAAACGATTTTAATTTTACAATGTAAAAAATATATTTTATGCGAATGTCCCTGAAAAATCCGCAATTGGAAATCTACTTTGTGTGTGTGCATAACATTTTAGGTATAGAGGCTTAATTATCACGTATCACGTTTAAATACATAATAAGGTAATATTGTATTTATTTCATTGATAATTATTTTATTAATTATTGTTCAATCACATTATTATAATCAGTGCAGAAAACAAAAATATTCTCCAAAAATAAGAAATAATACAGATGCAACTACAGTTGTGGCAATTGTAATCACTTATCTTGTAGTACAATATTCACAGAGATACTTATCATTACAATGTGCGTAGAATCTTTCCCCATAATATTTAACGACTCCAAGATAAATGAAAACTTTACTTGTAGATTAAAAATGAGCAAGGATATCATCAATGTTTTAGAACCTGAATTCAGGAGGTCAATTCTTGACGATTTGAAAGATGTGCATACATATGCGATTCTAACAGATGCATCCAATAAGGGAAATACCACTATTTCAACAAAATTAAGGACGTTTCAAGAAAACGATTAAATTTTTTCCCCTTAAATAATGAAAAATCCAAAGACATAGGCAACCATCAATATATCATTGGTAATCATATAATGGTAAATATAGCAGATTCGGGATTATCAATAAATTGCATGTCAGGTTTCAGATCTGATAATGCCTCAGAGAATTTGGAAACCAGAGTGTATTTACAGAATTGAGTAGGCACAATGTTGGTTGTGATATGTTCCCAATACCCGCCATCGATAGAATCTTAAAATTTTATAAACCTTTAAAAACATATTTCTTAAATAAAAATTATAAAAGCTGTCTTAACATTTTGAAAATTTTTCTCAATAATGAATGACAGAGGTATATTTAGGATTGATTTTACATGTAGCAAATCTACTGCATGCTGTTAATGTGCAGTTTCAATCAGAAGTAACAAAGATTCACAAAATTATGCTGCAGATGTGTTCATCTTAGTTAAAAATTGACAATAAATTTTATGGCGCCATTGATAAAACTATAATAAAATGTTCAAATATTTTAAAAGTAACGACAGACATTGATGTTTTGTTTGAGGAAATTATAATGCTCTCTATTTTTGATTTACAATGTAAAAAATATATTTTATGCGAATGTATAAATAAGATTTTATAAAATATAAAAAAAAATATGGAAAATTAAATAGTTATAATGTTAATTATATTTTATTTGGGATTTAAATAATGTAACTAAACGTTTACCGTCGTTTTTGATATATTTTAAAAATTCCTAGCATGACATATTATAAATTTATTTAACCTTTAGCTCAGCCTCTAATGTTGTTAAAGCAATCCAATTTCTCTCCTTTCTCCAGGCAGTACTCATCAGGCTAAAAATGCGCTCGGATGAGGCATAGAATGAGGTAAGGAGAAAACATACTCGCATATCTTTTCCAAGCATGGTGATTTATTGTTATTACGAAAAAATTCAACCCATTTCTCCTCTACTTTTAGACGATATAACTTTAAGTATTCTGGCTAATCATAAAAAATAGCGAGAATTACAATCTCCTCAAACAAGCC